AACATGTAAAAAGACCCATGACAAAGATGCAAATCAATTGGAAATGACAGAAACTGCTGATTGGGACAGCAGCTGCGCGTGTCACAGGCTGTGACATGACATTTGCAACGAATATTTTTCCCCTGTCTATTTTGACTGCGCCTTACACGTTCAGAGCTCCACAGGAAATTCAACTTCCCCTTTGCTCTGGCGATCTCCCGGGCCAAATTGGCCAGCTGCGATTCTCCCCGCATTAATGAACATGAAGCACACCAGCCCAATGTACACAATCTTAGTATAAATCTCGCAACCCTCGACACCAATAACGGACCGTAGACGAGCAAATTGACACAGATCAAGGTCAATGAGGCACAGCCAACTGTTTTACAAAGTAGGACCAGTTAGTATTCACAAACACTCTTGTACAGTCCTTGGTACCATTCCCAGGGCTGTGCAAAATTCCTAAAGATATCAGCACATCATCAGCATATATTTTACTCCCAGTTTTTTTTCTTAATTATGTACGCGCCCTGCACAACTCAGCTGTCAATGATTTTGGCAGACAGTTATTTCGAGTCTTTCGCGGCTGGCGGGCCTAGTTCTGAGTCAATGATTGTTCCTGAGCTTCCTGTGCGCTTTTTTGCAGTTCAGCCTTGATAGGAGCTGGAGGGTACTCTATTCTTATGATCTTTGGGGAAGATGTCTCACCCTTACTGAGATCAGCAAGGTTGTCGTAATCTTCCCCGGGCTGATTCATGCCCAAGGCCACTATAGTGCTCGGGATTCAGGATGTCGTATAGATACTTGTAACAGACCTTGAATGAGCTTTGATGAATCCTAAATGCCCCTCTGAGATTCACAGAGCCTTACTGGACCTCAATGAGGCAGTGGTATTTTCAGCATTTAAAATATTTACTGTGGCCTCTACACCCAACTGATAACATTTTTTAGGGACACTTACCTGCAGGACCTGCCGGACCTTATAATACGTTCTCCCTCAACTCAAAGCATTTGGATGCTCTTTAAGAAAAGTACCTTAGATTGCAGAGGATAGTGCAGGGGGCGTTGAATAGTGCGGGGCCTTTAGATAGCTCCCCCCGCGTTATCAAATATGGCCGGTGTTGTGCAGCACGGGGGGTGTGCAAGATAGCGCGGGGGGGCACTATTCACTTCAACATCACATACGACCACAGTGCAAAAGCATTTTCACACATTCTTGCATCTCGCTGCATATCCTATCGTCCCAGTGTTATCAAGTTCACTCCAACTAATCATTGCCATGACATTCCTCCTTCATTCAAACACCACGTTTCCGACAATCTCTGTGTCTAGCTCCGTATAACCATCACTCAAGCCAAGGTCATAGGTACCTACGAGCTGTCTCTATAGAGACCCGCACTAGCTAGTGCGGTGCGACGTCCCAATAGCTCTTATTGGTTGGCGTTGTGATTGGCGCATTATGTAATGTTATGTGATGCTATGTAATATGGGCCGGTTCGCTTTGCCCATCAATCTGGCAACGAGGGTGGCACGGCATAATGCAGCGACTTGTGGCGTCTCTTCACTGCTTTTGGCGCCGGTTTTGGTTGCTGCCGTGAATGGCGCCTTATGTAGTGTGCTAGGTTGGTGGGGCGCCGGCACGCTTTGCTGCCGGTGCGAGGGTCAGCGTGATAACGCTGGGGGGGCGCTACTGAGTCAGCGACTTGATGCGGAACGCGGGGGCACGGAAATAGCGCGGTGGCATGGAAAATAGTGCAGAGGCACACAAGATAGCGCTCTCCACATTCCTGACGTCAGCCCTGATGTGGAGCGCGGATGGGTGTGCTATCCTCCGTGATCTACGGTACTTTCAATGCTTGGCCCTAGGGCACTATTACTAGGCTCTATTTGTCCGTCCCGAATACCTGTTTCCTTTCCTGTAATTCAAGGATAGAACAGAGGGCCTGAAGGCGTTCTTGCTCTGCATTAGACCTGTCCTGGGACCCCGTAGGCTTCCTCGGAGGACCAGGTCTTATGCACTGTTGTGCATAATACAGATTTGGGGCCCCGCAAGTTATCCCAATGGATCTGTGTTAAGCAGCTATTACCCTTGGGTATTCCACAGAGAATAGAACTCGAATTATAGCAACAAGTCAAAATTCCATAGGTTGCAGCCTGGTCCACAATATGGTCAGGTTTATTTTCCCTTTGGTCCCTTGGCCTCTGGCCTGAGATCCAACTCCAAACCGCCTGTGCAAATGGGGCACACCCCTGTTATTTATTGCCCAACGCCACCCCCACCCCCCCTGGGAGATTCCAGAGGAAACTACTGAATATTCGGCATCATCTACTGAACCCAAAGGCTCAGCTTTGCCTGTCCCGTCAACGCCCATGCACCAACACCCTTGGTCCTATTGCTCAACGGAAAAAACCTGGTCACATCACTATCAATAGGCCAAGGTCAAACCAGAGACCCGTTCACTCACTCCCCCTTGATATTGATCACTCCCCTCCCGACATTTCCGTCCAACAATCAGCAGTTTGACAAGTGGATCATCCATTCTGATTCAACGCTCTGATTGAACGCCCTTTCGCTTGCCAAATCACATCAGATAGGTATCGCAACATATTATCGCACTGTTCCACTTATATTGCCTTGTTCTGTAAAAAATAATGATGACGATGTTCCACTTATCACCTCTTCGTCACGAAAACGATCAGTCTGGGCCACCCGTCCTTATAGCACGTCAAATCACATCTTGCTGCATGACATCCTACACTTATTATTCATCCACATGAGGCATATCAAGAGAATCTATAAATAACAAGCCCTCCCTCGTCGTCCGTCCCGCGGCGCTGCCCCTCGCCATCCACGACCGCCTCAACGCCCCACCTGAATCAGTCGCACAAACTCCCGCCCAGCCGCGCGTGCGCCACGGTACCCGCCGCCCACAATCACCTGATTCCGCCATCGCCTGCTTCCCCATGCCTCCGGCACGGGCGCCAGCGCCTCGATCGCGCCCGTCATGGTGCCCTCTGGCGGCATTATAATAAATAACGTAATGATGGTCATCATATTTGACACAATTGATTCAGGGCAGCCTAGGGCGACTCGCAGGTGTGATGTCATCTCTTTTCGATTCTTCTTCCTCAGGTAGTTGTATTTCATATGGTTCTGTGAGGTCTGACAGCCCAGTAGGGATGCGACCTGTTACGCACGGAAACATCAAGAATTGCTTCATGAATTTGGTCACGAAAGTCTGGACTTTTGCTGCTGATGCGCTGGGTGAGTGTATCAGTTCTTTAATTCAATGATGGAATAGCACTGGGCTGATTTGCGGCGTGGCTGTGACGTCACAGCGTTGTTCCTGAGCAGTGCATTGTGGTGCGGGAAAAGGGCAGGCGGAGCTGCAGGTGTGAACAAATATTCGTGCCAATCTTTCAGGTCGCGGCACAGATTCGATTGTGGTGCTGCGCGTGTTCTGGAAAGGTGACGAATGAGTGAAGTGATGGCCACCTGAACGTTGCAAGGGGGTTATGTGAGGATTAGAAGAGCATGTTGTGAGGTTTGCAGAGGCACGCACAAACGTGGTATGAATAGTAGAGTATGAGCCGTAAAGAGAATGAGAATGATGGGAACTGCCATGTTTGGACGTGACCTGATGGAAATGGCATAAGACCTGGTTGTCCTGCTATTTCTGACGTGGCTAGGGTACTTGGGGGGTGGCAGCCATGCTGTGTAGGGTCGGCATGCTGCTATGCCCAGCGGGAGGCGGGACAGGCGAAGGCGCTTTGTGGATTTTCGCCCGGGTGGCTGCCATGGCAGACGGCCACCTTTTGCAAGCGCCAGAGAGATGGCGGCACAGAGAACATTGCCTCCATGGCAGTGTGGATTCCTTGGGTCCTGGGATGCTTTTGACGGGAACTTTTGCTTTCGACGAACGCGCCGTCGCCAGTGACTGGTTAGAATTGGGGCCTGCTTTGCAAACGCAGTGTCGATTTTGCGACCTGCATTGGCACTCGTAGCCTGCAGCGTCTGCTGACAACAGGCGCTTGCCTTTGAGGCGTTGCTGCTTGTTCGCTGCAGCAATAACGTTCTATGTGGGCAAACCACAGAGTGGAGCACGACAAGTGGCGTGGTAGGCTCTTCGCTGTTGAGCCATGCACTACAGGACGCGCTCTTGTCATCCAGCCTTGATGTTGACCTCCCTGTCTGCATGGGTACCAGACACCTGACATGGGTGGCCAGCTCCGCCTTGGCTAAGGACGGCCATGTCTTTCAGGATGCCCACTGCATCCCAGATCTCTTATCCCCTGGCTTCTCAGCAAGACCTGCATCTCATGGCACCGTCCAGTCCAAAGGGGATCCACGCCTCCCATTGATGCCAAGGCGGCTGATTCACCCACGGGTCCCCACCAGTTGCACATTTTAAATTATGAAGAACCAAGCTTCCGTATATATTGCCAACCCAGCCTGGCAGTGGTTGGAGAGCCTGGCTACTTTCGTTGGGGCCCTAATGTCCATCGATTGTTTCCGATCATGTTCAGACCACCGCACACCACTAGTCCACCACACACACTGGTTGCGCTGTTCTTCAGCACGTCCTGTGTGAGCGAACTCAGTACAATTTGCAGCCTCCTTTTGCCAACACGACTGCGTTTTTGCTTACTTGTAGGCCCATGGTTTCCACCACACGGTCATTACAATCCTCACTTGTGTCATGTGCCTGCCCTCAAGTACAAAAGCCCACCCCTGTGTCTCGTCCCACCCCACCGCACAAGACCCCGCCATCTGTCAGTATCTTCCCCAACAAACATCGAGAATGCAAACTGCACCACAAACAAACTGTAGTGGCGTCCTGAGCGCCGCCAAGCCCAACTTCCCACCTATCCTCAACTTACTTTTCTCTCGGATTCTCTTAAAGCAAATGCCACATCCATATAGTGTTCCCGCTGATCCCTGTGCACTTCAAGGCAAGCAAGCGGGCCAGCAGTCCATCACAATCGCCAACCGCCACCGATTGCCACCCATCTGTTCCAAACTAGCTTGCAGGGTTCATGTAGGTTGACGAATCAATAGAGTCAGGAAGCTGCTTGATGTCCACATCGAAGCGCTCTTGAACCTACAAAAACAGAAACAGTGGGCTTGGGAATCACAGCAACATTTGCTCAAGTGGCCGATCCATGGTGCTGAATACGCTCTTGCTACGAGTCTCATTTGAATCACACATCCTATCACTCCTTGGACCTATCTTGCCGTCGTCAGCATGACAGCATCCACAACCAGGTGAAAGGTAGAGGCACTTGCACCTGGAGATGGGATAGAAACCAGAGAACAACAACACCCTCGTTTACAACCTGCTATGCACAACCTGGCAACCACAGTGTACAGTGGGTACAGCAACAATGGGTGTACAACTGCCGATGCCACAATCCATACCTGATTCAGGACATCTGAGTCTGCCTCAGACGCCACAAATGATATTGCCAGCCCCTTTGTGCCAAACCTGCCAGCACGGCCGACTCTGTGGAGGTACGTGTCAGCGCCATTGCCATAGTTGTCGCTCGTCTGCGGCATGTCGTAGTTGATCACTATGTTCACCCGCTCAATGTCGATGCCACGGCCCACAAGATCAGTGGCAACCAGAATTCGTTTGTGGCCTGCCTTGAAATTCTTATACACACCCAGCCTGCACAAATGGAACTCAATTAGTATGGGCATTCCTACATACATGCCAAAAGCCAGGGCAAGGCAGTGGGGCGTTGTTTCTCTTGTGTCTCCTGGGATCGATTGAATTGGTGCTGTGAGGAGATAGGAATATCAAACCAAGATTGCACACAATTCGCTTCATCGGCTTGCATGTCTCCTGGAACATTCTGTCAGAATTTGGATCAAGACCCAAAGGATTTGTGCACGCCCCTGCTCGTATCATGCAAAAACAATGGCAGGTCACAGCCTTGGGGGCATCGATGGCCCACCATGGGTACCCTGAAGAACTCTCTCGCAGCAAACACTGGGTCAGACAATGCCATTGTGCTGAGTTCATAGGTGAGGCCCACCTTTCCTCCTGCTGCATGCCCCTGTGAATGCAGACAGATGGGAAGTTGCATTCGTTGAGAAGGCGATTCAGCTCTCGGGCTCGTGGCACACTTTTCACGAAGATGACGACCTGCACAATTGCACATGTACATACAAAATATCACCCACGCAGTTCTGTGCACACCACACTGTTACATGTATCTCCCCCAGCACTGACAGGCTCAGGCTGACTCCTGCAGATAACAAACCTGATTGAAATCCAGTGCATCCAGCAGATCGTTGAGCTTTCTGTTCTTCTCATCTTCGTTGAGGAGGATGTAGTGTTGTACCAACCCGTGGAGTGTGAGCTTGGCTTCATCATCGACATAAATTTCCATCGGCTGCGATCACCATCAAACGCATGAGGACAACAATAACTGCAGTGCCAACAGCACAACCGCCTGACTTAAAGTCAAACAGCACTGGGCAGTTTGCATATCAATCCACGTGTTCTGTGTGTGGTGGCGTTCACTGCACACAACCACAGCTTGGCAGTCAAGAGAGAAAGACTTGCCCGGTTTGCCGATGCACTGCAACACAATAACAAGACAACAGGTGCTAAACCCACCCAACGCACAGAGTAATTGTGTAACTCTCCCTTCTTATGCGACCATCGTCTTCCGCCACAAGAGAGCCATGCAGGCTTCAGCACTTCAGTTGTGCCAATTCCTGGTGCCTACTGATTCTCTTGCACATTATCAGGCATCTTCTACCCCCACAGAGCTCCACAGCATCAAAGCTCTTCCAGTGCTCGGAGACACGGAAACGTGCCCTTCAAACTTGGTGTCGCAGATTTTTAGGCGCCGTGGATGCGATGACTCCCTCACACCCCAGTGCAACGGCTGAGAGAACGAAATCGTTCCAGCGCTCCAGGCCCCGTTCCTAACCCACACAGGCACGTGCCATGTGGGCAGCGCAGACAGCCAACAGGTGCTGCTCCAAGGAGCCCCAGGCTGCGCCACCCTCCATTCCTGCCCCAACTATCAAGGCGGGCCCCACCCACCCAGACAGCACTCTCTGCATGATGCCACACTTGCACCCGCGCACTGTGCCACATCTGCACAAATCCTACAGAGCTGATGATCAGCAGAGCCTCCAGAAAAGTGCCGATCGCGCATCAAAGTGCCTGGCAGCAATTCGCTTGCATTGCTGCATGGAACAAACTGGAAACGTCCTTCCATGGGCCTCCCAGACAGTACTCAGGGTGCGCAGATCGAACTGTGACTTGATGTAGCAAACCGAGCCTTGCACTATTCCGGCCTGAACTGACAGGACCTCCCCAGGCCAACAATGACAGGCTTTAGGAGTTCCCAGTGCATTCCGACTCCCAGACTCGGCACAATGAGGATGGGGAACACGTGCTGCAGCCGAAGAACAGCTGCAGTCCATCCTGACGAGAGTCACCCAACCGCCAAGACACAGCGCCCTGTGGCAACACGTACGTCCGTCATGAACTTCTTGCAGACTGGCCGGATTTCCTTCGAGAGCGTGGCGCTGAACATCATGACTTGCTTGTCGTGGGGCGTCATTTTGAAGATCTCCTGCACGTCGGCCCGCATATCTGCACAGAGAACGCCAAAAGCGCTGCAGTCAGCTCCAACCCGGCAGCAACAGCCAAGATGGGAGTGGACACTACACAATATCAGCCAGTCTGTCAGCAATCTCCCCTCCTCCCCCCCAGGCCGAGCCCAGCCAGCACTCACCCATCTTTGACAGCATCTTGTCGCACTCGTCCAGAACGAAGTGTCGGACCTTCCCCAGCTTCAAGTCCCCATCCTTGGCAAGCTGCAGCATCAAAAGCACCACCCCGTCAGCAAGAGCCCCCTTCACGGCCGCCCGCTGCCCACCGCAGCTCAACCACCAGCACCCTCACCTGCTTCACCCGTCCCGGCGTCCCAACGACGACGTGCGGGCAGTCCGTCTTGAGCTGTTCCTTGTTCTGGCTGGTCTGCACGCCGCCGAAGAAGGGTAGCACCTTGATGTGCTTCATGTAGGTACCGAACCGCTCGAACTCGTGGCAGATCTGGACAGCCGCACACGCCACAAGCCTTCAGGGCGCCGCCCAACGCAGGCTCCACGGGGGCAATGGGGGAAACGCAGCCTGAAGGATTCAGTTCACCCTGAGGTCGCAGAGGTCAGATCACGCCACCCCGCCGTCCGCGCGCCTCACCTGAAACGCCAGCTCGCGCGTGTGGCACAGCACGATGGCGCTCACGGTGTTGGGCTGCGGCTCCAGCTGCTGCAGTATGGACAGCAGGAAGACGGCCGTCTTGCCCATGCCCGACTTGGCCTGGCAGAGAATGTCCATGCCCAAAATCGCCTGCGGGATGCACTCGTGCTGCACTGCGCCAGCCGAGCAAAAAGGCCAATCAGCCCTCCCACCGTCGCCCGAAGCATCACGTATGTGAGGCGCTCCACACTCCGAGGCAAATGCGGAGGCCCGTGCCCGACGGGTGCTCGAAGCCACAGTCGACGATCGCCTTGAGCAGCTCGGATTTCAGCAGGAAGTCCTTGAAGCCGGTGGAATGGATGCCCAGGAAGCCCTTCTTGGTGACCTCAGCGCCGCCTTCCTTGGCCTGACCCGCCTTGCCCGCCTCCTCCTCGTGCTCCTCCTCGTAGTCGAGGAGCTCCTCCTCCGCCTCCGCGCCGTTCATCGCCTGGTCAGCCATCGGGCCCGGGCGCGCGCGCGAAGGGGGGGCGAAACTGGCTGGAGGAAGGGAGGGGGAGGAGGGGATACGGGTTGGTCCCACAGGCTGGAACGTCCGCGTCGCCTGCAGAGGGCGTGTGTGGGGTTTGAGAAGAGGCGGCCCGCAGAAACTGAGGCACAGGCAGTCCCTTATTTTTTTTGTTTCTTCTTGGGATTGGGCAATGAAAATTATGCAATTGTCAATGATGCAATTGCCAACTTTGGAATCGCCACCCAGCCAATTGTCTCGCCCATACGGCCAGGCCGGGGCCGGATTAACCAGAGGACCGTGTGCGTGCGGGCGCGGAATTCTAACCTTTTTTTTCCTTCAAAAAGAAATTTCCGTTTGAATCTGGCGGCACCTCGTTTTCTGGGTCACACCGATTACCAGTCGAAAAACAGAAATAAAAATCTGTACATTCGCTGGCCGACTGTCCGCTGCTGAGTCGTGCACTCGCGCCAAACGGGGGGAATGGCGCGCTATTACCGCTCGAACAGCACGTAAGGCGGCCTTGGGAGGGCCCTCGAAGGGGTAGGCGGCTTTTGGGTGACCACAGTGACAACTGCACGGTGGAGGTTGTGTGGTGGTTGTGTGGAGGTTGTGTGGAGGTTGTGTGGAGGTTGTGTGGAGGTTGTGTGGAGGTTGTGACACATGTTAGTGGCAGGGCAGCCGCAGCACCGAAGCCTGGCAGTTTGCCACGCTCCCCAGGTTCCAATCAATTTGAGATCCTGTCTCCACACCCCAGGTGATGATGCTAATCTGGCACTGGGACCCGTTCATCGGAAAGCTTCATCTCACATTTTATCAACAAGCTGCAGCCAGCAAAGGGCAGAGAACAAGGCGCAACTGGGACATGATTCCATGCCCTGCTACCAAACAGCTGGAAAGATCAATGCTCATACAGCTACAAATCAGACAGTGCCTCAAAACTCATGCAGTGCTCATGGGCTATACAACAGATATGCCACATCAACAAAGTACATACAAAATGCTGAAAGGGCATCTTCGCGTGGCGGCCTCCAAGTTTCCTAATTCATGCACTGCAAGTGCTCATCTGCGCCTCCAGCTCCATTGCTGCCTAACCTAGCAAATTATAGAGCACGACAGATGGCTGCACTTCCAGTCAGCCTACTAAACCGGTTCAGATGGCAAGCACACTGAACCGTCGACGAGCTATAGGTGACTAGCCACACAAGCCTACAAGCACCGAAAAATGAATGCTACCTGCATCGGCCCTATGTTTTGCCACTCCCAACTGTTACCAGGGCTGCCCTTGCTCTTGAGCCCACTACACCCTCCAGCACCCAGCTGGCAGGATCTTCAGTTCACAAAACAGGACTGTGATGCCGTCAGCCTGGCCATCAGGGGTCCCACATATTTGCTCTTTGCCTTCTCAGGAATGTTTGAGGTCCTACTCATCTCCCTGAGTGCTGGGACCAGACCTGACGTCCTCATCTCATACCGCGCCCTGTCATTCTTTGACAGATGGTACAGTGCCTTAACCGCAGTCTCAGGGACCGTCACCCATGCAAACCAATCATTGAACACACGTGCTGTGTAGAGCACTTGCCGATTCAGTGGTGGCAGGTGGTTCATGAAATGTCTCACGGCCCCATTCTGCTGAATCAGCTCTCGAGCAGCCCGGTCTTCGCACAGGTACTGTACAGCCTTCAGAAGGCAAAGCCTGAACCCAACGTCAGTCGTCGTTGCCAGGTAGTGCACCAGCAACGACACAGCATTGCCACTAACGATTTGCGAACGTGATCTTGGCCTGTAGCAGATGCATGTCAAGACAAATGCTGCATACGCTCGAACCTGTCTTGCAAGCATGTGGAAAACGTCAGCTGCGCATGTGCGGAACAAAATATGTGAAATGTTACCAGTATCCCTGTGCAACACTCTTTGTGGCATTATTTTCACAATGTACTCAGGTGCCTATGCGCCAGCATTTGGAGTGCTCAAAAAACATCTCAATATTTCTCTGGCCAACTGGCTGGAGTCAGCTGAAGTTATAACAGAATGCTTGTGGCGCTGATGGGGGTTTCTTGGTGGCCACTGGCAATCGTGCTGAACAAAGCTTGGCCTTGATTGTAATTCCTTTCCTTGGGCGGTCGTTGCTCTAGTGGATCGTGGGTTTGGGGGTTTGGTATAAAGCTGATGGGCCACGCATTCCTGCACATTGCTGCGCTGCTTGATTGTTGTTCTGCCTGATGTACCAGATTTGCCATGCTGACCTTGTCCTCCATGAGGTTGCATGTAGAATGTGTAGATTGTCAGTTCAATTCTAGTTCTTGCTAACTTCAGACAGGAAAGGCTAGGGTGTCAACATGTGGCAAGGCATGTTACACTCCAAGCAGGATCAGCATTCCCCAAACCATGCAGTGCCAGGAGCAACAAACAAGTAACAACCAAAACTTCCTCTGTCGATGGTCAGCAAGATTGCCAATCCAATTCCAGAATCAGTGCAATGAGGCATGCCATTTGTGTACAAAATAGGTCTTGTACCAGGCGTTCCAACAACAGACATGGGGCCCACCTCATCCGCATAATCGTTGTTCTGTGTTGGGTCTGCCATTGTCTTCATGTAGGTAATAATCTCCCCTGTTCCCAGATCATGTATTGCCTGTGCTATCTCGTTCATTCGGGAGCGATGCCGGTAAGCATGCTGCCAAATCAACAATAGCACGTCCTCTGTCAGCTGTGGATTCGCATATTTCAGGAGCTTGAGCATCTGTCCCATTGTCATGTCCTCCCCTGGGAGGTAGAGCAGCAGACGGGCAGCCTGGACTTGAAATCGAGTGTCAGTGTCATTCAACTTTTTCTTCAGCTGATCGATGGAACAGTGCTGGGTTATTCTTCGTTTCTGTCTCTTTTCTCCGTGTCTGCAAAATTCATGGCAAACTGGCGTCAGATAGTACATCATCAGATCTTTGTCATGGGTGGGCCAGAATTCTCAACAAACAAGTTTTGCAGGAAGCGACACAACATTTGCACATGCATTCTTCAAAGGCGACCTTGTGTAAACATGGCACTACTTTGTCAATTATTTGTCCACGTGCCACACAACTTGCAGAACACTGTGCAGGCGTTGCAAGGCCACAACACATCATGGACAAAGCAGAACTCTGAACCACGCTTCACCACAGCTGGCTGCTGTCATCAATGTCATGGCCCCATGACTCCAGTTCACACAAAGCTCACCTTGCCATGTCTCCCAGCAGTTGCATTGCTGCAAGTGCTTCTGCACTATCACCAGACACCATCAACTTGCATAGACCCTTTATGTCATAAACAGATACACCCTGCAGAACCAGGCACTCCAGCGGGTTTGGAACATCCCATGTTGACGAATCGCCACTCTTGACATCCTCCTCCTCACTCTCCTCAGGTTCCAGTTCGATGTTGTGCTGTTTGGCAAATTGTTGGATTGCTGACCGTAATGGATAAATTGTCGACAGCCGCTGATGTCGAACTTTTACACCTGACCACAGCAAGATAAGCAAGCAACAGTGAGCAACACACAAGAGCTAGCAAGAAGTGCCAATATTTTCAGGTACTAGCCGCATACCCAACCCAGCTGCACAAGCGCACATCACCACATGACCAACCAGCTATCTTTGCATATGTTATTTGCCAAAATTGACCTATTCACCTGCAAGGCCAGGCAGAGCAAGTTCGCACAGGTTTATGTTCTCTTACCTGCTTTTGATCCCATTGTTCAACCTTCAGTTTCTAAGAAATGGAGCAGCCACTGTATATGTGAAACTGTGAATCCCTTTTGGCGCCATGTATCATGCAGGGAACGAGCAAATCAACCAAATGGCCCCTCGAACTTGTCTCCCATCTCACCAGTTGATGGATCGGTGTTGTGCCCACTCTTGAACCAGGCCTCTATCGATTCTCGATCGTACACTTGGCCTGTCTCGACCAGCAGCACAGGATCCTTCATGAGCTGCAGTGTGATCGGGCAGAGGTACTCCTTTGGGGCCTCCTTGGCCTATTTCAGTGCCCAAAGATGCAGCTCAGGCCTCCACCCCAAGAAATGAACGAACAATGCAATACCAACTCGTGCTGTGCAGGGACTGAGTCCCCACAATACGTCAAGGTGCCAGTGCAATTTGTCACAATTTTTGTGACAGATGAAATCAAGCGGTTTGTGTCCCCCATGCGTAAGCAAAGTAGCATCCGCGCGAGGGTACAGACTGAAACTTCACTGTACGCATATGTTACAAATCAGGAAATGGGCCACGCGTTGGAGATGACAAGATTGATTTGGGGCCCACACCGGCATTGCCAGCAAGGGGCACAGCCACCCAAAATGGCCTGCCTAAACTAGTTTCCTTCGGCGCTCCAGGACCTGAGGTCGTGAAGCTTCCTTCCATCCTCCCCGCACACAAGCACAGTTTTCTCCCTCGGGCGGCCTGGCGATAAGATGCACCACACGACCTGCATGGTGCACAGCGCGACAGGGGCGCATCCCCACCTCATCGACAAGCGCGAAGCCCCTCTGAGAGGCGGTGGGCCCCAGCTTTCCCCACTTGCTGGACCTCGACTTCTCCATCGCTAAGCAGCTTCGCGGCGCTTACTCCACCGTCAAGAGGCGCATGCTTCTGCCAAAAGCCTCCGGCACGCAGACGCAGCCGCGCTCCCAGCCCCGGCGCCCGCGGGTGCCCTGAAGCAGCAACGAGCCCTGAGATCGAAAGGCGCGCGCTCGCAAGACGGCCGCGCCCGGCGGGAAGTGTGTCAAGAAGCTCACCATGATGTCACATCACATTACAGCCCGCGGCCATGGGGATGAGCACACATGAGCGCAGGCCGCCTCCCCAGGGAGGGCGATCAGGCGATTGGAATCGAGCGCCGTCGCGCAAGGAGAATCGGCGCCAACTCCACAGCGCTGGGCCTGTGGCTCTTGGGGGCAATAGGGACCCAGGACAGAAACTTGGGGCGTCGGGTGCAGGAACGGCGATAAGCGCGGCGTCCGGCCCGCCCGAGCGCAGGCCCGGCGCAGGTCGCACAACTCACCCGGCAGCGGGCGCGTCCGACCTGCGACCTGGCTGCCAAGAGCGCGCCCGCGGGCCGCAGCTGCAGACAGGAATGCAGGGGCTGGGGCGCAGTGGCGCCGCTGTGTGCCGGGTCCCGCGGGCTTTCCATTTTCTCACACAATGCAAAGTCTCCATGAGGGATGCACGGTGGGGTGCGGGTGCCGGGCGAGTGACTTCGCCCAGGGGCACGACCAGGGAACGCCCCGGGACGGAGCAGTGACGTTCGCGGGCGGAAGTTCACGATTACGAGAGAGCCGTTGTTCGTAGCGCCGCATGATGGAACGAATGGTTGGATCTCTTTCGCCCATTAGCACACACAAAGGGCGGCGGTCCATGCTGGCGTTATCCCCGGAGACAGCGCAGTGAAATCGCCCTCAAACGGGCAGCTGAGTCATGTCGACAGCCTCGGCACCACGTCAGTTGAGGTTCACTGAACGGCCAACTTTCGCCCCTCTCGCAAACTGGCTCTTCATAAAGAGCTGCTTGTCACGACGACGACGACCAACAAAAGCAGCAGCGACAGCAAGGGGAAGCTTCAAACGGGTAGCAAGCGTCCAGCTGCCAGCCAACCATGCAAATACGCTTGTAGAACCTCTCACAGCTGCCGCTCAGAGCGCCTCAGCCGGTCGCAACTGCTCCTCAACGGTCGACGACGTCAAGACGCAAGTCACGTCCAGGTCCACTGGTCAGGGCTGCGTTGTCCGCAGCACATCCGTGTATGACATGGGAAACAGTTCTCTCCGCCTCGACAAGGCTGTGCAGCGACGAGGCTTGGCAAGTTCTGGCTGGCAACTGCACCACACTGGAGGTGCTGGTTTTGAACGGCAAGGAAACGGCTTGAAAACACGGCCCAGACTGGCCACGACCTTCGAAAGGTCGAGCGCTATCGCGGTCAGGCCGTGGCGAACGTTGCGTACACAGCCAGGTGAGTCAGGCAGCCAGGCCGAACGCCTGGGCCACCGCGCGAGACACGGACGGACCCCACGCAGTCGTTCAAACAGCTGCCATGCCAAGTGCAACCATCGAGAGTCCCCAACGCGCTGCCCGCGCCGCTAGTACTTGTAAGCTCCCCCGAGTTTGAAATACCCCCCCATATGAAACAGCATCTTTTGATTCCCCGGAATCTTTCCGCCACACTGCCGTGTCACCACAATTCACACCGGTGCGCCCCACTTCCCGGCCAAGTAATGCCCCACGGGCCATATTACCATCAAACAGCTATGTGGCGCCTCCACGCGCCCCTCGTGACCCCGTCTCACCGCGCCCCATGGCAGGTCGCACAGGGGGCACCCCCCTTCCATCCCAAACGGCACCATCGCACATAAAATGTCCTATATTGTTCACTAAGGATCCGTTTGAGGTGAAATCTTTTGCAAATGATTTCTTTAAAAGACCTCTGCATAGCTTGGGACAGCAACAGCATGTTGCAAGTTGGACTTGCAACTGATTGATCCTTTCAAATCCAGATTCGATCAACTTTCACAAGTCGATTTTTCTGATTGATGGCACCCAGCCTTCCGTGACAAATCATCTTGCTCTGGGCTAGGGGCACACTCCTCAGCAGCTTGCATGCCACAGGACGCCAGAATTCTCCAGCACCATGACCGGATTATAAATCCAGCTGCAGTACATTTTGCATGCCTCTCGAATCAGCCCTGCGACCTCCAGTTCCGCGCATCCACGGCGCCCGCGCTCGCTCGAACTCACGCTGTTCCGCCACACAGCCGACCACGCAGGCTCAAAGGCCTGCCCGTATTCCAAATCCCCCCCCAGCAGCTTCGACCTCGACCCGTCTCAATCGGCGATTCGGCCGTGTGTCTGCCATCCCCCATCGGCAGCACCATGGCCAGCCACAGCCGTCCCGGCTAGATCAACGGGCATTGCTCGGAAAAAACGACGCATCCCGACTCGCCAAGCCTTTCTGCGTGCAATGCGCCCGGTCGCGCATGGCTGCACCCCTTGCCAAAGCAAGCGCACGTGCCCAACAGCGACCTGTGTGCTTCTCAGTACTTCATGGTGTTTTCCAGACGTGTCTGGCACCGGTGTGCCCGTGTGACGCGCGCTGCCACGTACTGGATCTATGTCCGGCATCGCAGCTGCATTGCTTTGGGTTCTTTAGACACACAGTGAGACTGCCATGGTCTCTCTTTGTCACTGAAGTCATCTCCTTGCATTCCAAGTGCCTTGGACTTGGGTTGCTAGAAAATAATGGAGCAGCCCTGATTGATGTTTTGGGGTTTCTGCCTCATTGAGCGCCAACCTGCTGGATGATAATCAGTATGGCGAAGGTGCTGAGGTTGTCGGCATCCCCTCTGCATCATTTCTGGATGTCACAGGTCGCCAGCTGAGTGATATCATTAACTTAATAATTTTTTGATGAACCCCATTTATTGGCGACCCGAACACACAAGAAAGTTGTTCCCAAAGTTAAACTGCGGGTATCCACCATGCATGTTGCATGCACCACAGTGTACGGGCCCAACAAGCCAGCATACTACTGAACAGGAAACAAGGCGCAGAGGACACTCCGAAGATGGGTTCAGAACTTGTGGCTGAGAACCTTTGGAGCGAGCACGGGAAAGTTAGCGAGGCAAGGTCTGGTTGAAAGTTCACACTGTGCACCCAGGTGCAGGCCCAGACAACTTCATACTACCAATCAATAGCCCACAGCGACCAGATAAGGTGCTTCGGCAGGCCCTGTTCCGTGAGAGGCTTGGACAAGGGGATCAATTGGGCTGGCAGCACAAGCCGCGCCCCAGCCTTCGCGGACTATCTGAACCGTCTGAATTGACGACGGTTCACACGTATGGCTCAGAGACTTGCACAACAAACGGGGCTTCATGAAGCCGTATGATGCATGCCACATGATCCTGTGACACATATGGGTGCGCTCAGGCTATGGCCTGAAAATGCATTCATGTAGACTCGGGATTGTGCGCCCTGTGTGATCGCCTTCGTCTCTCTTTGCAGTGCACACACAGGCTTGCGAGTTTGCGTGACAAGCAACGCAACGTTCAAAATTGCATCACAGTGCGCCTTGCGGCCACGCTTTCGCAGTGCTGAGTATGTCAGGGCTTGTGTAGTACACAATGTGTACCAGGTCCCATGTAGCTCACACTGTAAAAAGACGCTTTTGTTTTGGGGAGTGCAGGGCAGCAATTTGCCAGCGCTATGCCTCACAAGCACTGCCGTTAAAAATTTGACGTGAGCGTGTTGCATGAATTGTCTTCAACAAGCCCGGGAAGTACTATATTTCCCAACACAAGTTTGTCGCGTATTCAGAATAAAACTATGCTCTTACAGCATATTTTCATTCTAAATACACAATAACACTAGAACCAGAAAATTTTGATATGAAGGTGTCCTAAGACGAATTTTATTAATAGGTTTTTAACTGTCATTAAACTTGGCTTACTGCAATCAGCAGACCAGTGACCCACACGTCACGACACATGGGGAGCTGGCCGCGCTGTTGATGCGACGCTGGGGTCCTTTCCACAACTAGCGCGCTTCTTTTCACGATTTGAACTGCAACGACATTTGAATTCAATGAGTTAACAACCAAGGTATGGTCCCTCGGCACACCACAACTGCTAATTCCGCAATGTAGATGACCGCCCAACACAACAATGCCGCAGTGCAAGCACGTGCACTGCTGGGCTGTGGCAGCCGTGAAGTCCTGTGCCGCCTTGTTGGGCACATTTGGCATTGCCACTCGAGCAGATATCTCCACGGTCTGGACCGATTTTGCTTCAACACAGCAACAGGTCCATCAGTATCTGTCAATGACAGCCACTAAGGCTGCGGTATTGAATTAAAAGAGTGAAAAAATGAGGTAGAGAGAAAATGTACTTGTGCCGACAAGTTCTGCAAAATCCATAGATACCAGAAGGGAAATCACAGGCTGGTCGGAACTTCCGACCCGGATGTGCATTCACTATTTGTAAAATATCCCTCCATCAACCTCCTGGAAAAGTCTGGAATGGGACCAAGGTTCTGTTGGGGCTACAAATTCCCCAACAGTGTCCCGTTGAGGCTGCTTTTGAATATTTTGAGTTTCCCGAATAATGCCTTCTTCCGAGAAATTTTGCTGACATCGGGTTTGTTTTTATCCATTGCGAAAAGGTGTGAATCCCCAATATCGTAAAAGTCACAAAGCCATACTAGCGCTTGTGTTGAGCATGCAGGAGACTGTACTATACCCACTATGATTTTTCTATTCACCTGTAATTATGCCTGTTGTGAACAATGCGGTGTCGCCATGCAAATAGTCGTCATGAGGTTGGAGCCTGCTGAACAACATACGAAGCAGAACCCAGAAGCTGCACGTGACTACGAGGCACAGAGCGCAGCAATGTTTAGTCATACCCTGAAGTTGAACCTCGACAGATTCCCCTCAACAGCCGAATCACTGACCAAATTTTCACGCCCTTGAACTGGTTGGTTGGCAAAAGGGCCCGCTTTGCAGTAACTTCTCAACATGCCCGAATCATGTCACTTCCAGAGCCTTCTGGCCGACAAATTTATAAATTAATTAGGCCCTTTCCCAGCCACCATTCCCGGACAGGCCATCCGTCGCCGGGGCACATAAACGCCAAATTCGCACCCCCCAAGCAACGATTACGATCTGCACCCTGCCCCTTGTGTACCTTGTCTCGCCCCTCCGCCCACACAGTATCCCCGGTGCGGACTACGCACGTGGGGACGGTCAGATTGGGCGTATTGGGGGCTTGAGGCTTGGGGCATGAGGGGAATGGATGAAGAGGTTGTGTATGTACATACAGGGTCTCCGTCTCCCTCTCGTCTGGGTATCAGTGGTCGGTACAGGAGCACCCCCCGTCCACCAGCATCCCGTCGCCACCCCCGCGACTTCCGCGCTGGGGCCATGTCCCTGCGCCCTTCCCCCGCCCGGCCTCTGCCCCCCCCCGGCCTTCGCCCATCAATCCGCCTCCCCCCCTCTCGCCACCGCGTCGCCGCCACCCCGCCGGACGTCACACTCGACCGCGTGCCCCTGGGCCACTCCGACCTGACCGTCCCCGAGGCATGCCTGGGCACCATGATGTTCGGCTCGCAGCTGTCCGAGTCCCAGGCGCACAATGTCATGGACTTCGCCGCGGATTGCGGCATAACCTTTTTTGACACCGCGGAGATGTACCCCGTGCCGCCGGACGCCGCCACGCACGGCAACTCGTCGAGGATTGTGGGCGCGTGGCTCAGGCGGGCGCGGCGGGAGGACTTTGTGGTGGCGACCAAGGTGGTCGGGCACTCGGAGGAGCACGGGTGGGTGCTGGCCAACAGGACGGAACCGCCCGGGGGCGGCGGGGGTCCCGCGCGGGTGGACGGCCGGAGCATCAAGGCGGCGGTGGAGGGGGAGCTCAGGCGCCTGCGGACGGACTACATCGACGTCATGCAGATCCACTGGCCGGACAGGTGGGGGGCGACGCGAGGGCCGGATTCGAATGGGCGCCGCGGCGCATCCGCTGCGGAAGGCCTGTTCCAGGGACTCCTCGGATGCGTGTTTCTGCCTGACTTGATGGATGCATGCTTATGCGCGCTCAGAGGGAGGAGTCGGCTCCCGTATGCCCGTTTTTCTTGCGTGGCGATGGGTCGAGTAACCGATTGAGAGCGTGTGGTGTATCGTGCACCGCTTGGCGCATGTCTCGTGGGTGCATCCCAGGACGGTGCGCGGCACGGTACCGTATGTCACGCACAATGTCGTGCTCACGTGTGCGCTATTCGAGGGCCACTTGGCGCAAGGGGTTTTGATATTGCGCTCAGAATAGTTGGACGAAAACACAGTGCGTCGCTTCCGAATCGCGTGACGTCAATCCCATGTGCTGTCCTCTCCAGGTATGTTCCATTGTTCGGAAGGAAGCAGTACTTTGCGGAGCACGAGAGGGACTCCGTCAGTTTTGAGGAACAGGCTGCTGCCATGGGAGAACTCATCAGGGAGGGGAAAATCCGACATTGGGGCCTGTCCAACGAGACCACTTTTGGGGTGATGGAGCACTGTCGAGCTGCAGATGCAGTTGGTGTCGAGCGGCCGATCAGTATCCAGAATAGCTACAGCCTGCTGGATAGAAATTTCGAGACGGAGCTGGCTGAGGCCTGTTCGCCCAGGAACATGAACATCGGGCTGCTGCCTTGGTGCGCCGCTGCTGCAGGGGCGCTCAGCGGCAAGTACTGTCGAGGAAAGCCACCAGGTTCCCGGCTGTCGATCTTCAAGGGCATCTACACTCGTTTTGTGTCTGAGAGGTCGTTGAGGGCAATTGAGGAGTATGTCAAGATAGCAGAAAAGGCGGGGATCTCTGGTATGCAGCTGGCTTACCTATTTTGCAAGTCAAGGTCATTCATTCCATCGACAATCATTGCTGCATCGAACAATGAACAGTTGGAAGAGAATGTCAGGGCCTTTGGCATGCGCATGGCAGACGATGTTCTGGCCGCCATAAACGAGGTGCATCTGCGACATACAAACCCTCAGAATTCAGACTAGTGTACTGGGAGGCCGTGGATGTGCAGTGCTGTTTCCTCGACGCCAGGGGGATGGGAGCCTGTTGCTGAGGGGCGCATTGTGGATTTGGCCTGAATATGGTTCGAGCTCAGGCAATAGAACCTCCAAATGCAGTTGCTATATTGTTGAAGCAAATATGTCTATTTGGGGCATTGCTAAGCATTTAATATACACCACATACACACCGTCATGCGGCGGGCATGGACACCTGCACACGGACATCACTGGTTGTCTGTGCAAGACCAGTGGCATGACAACTTCAGTTGTCACTACACTTGTACTGATCAACACCCCCCTCAGAGGGAAGCACGTTGGAGAACAACAGCAATAAACCCAAAAGCTCCCATCTTTCCTGTGTGCCAAATTCACAAGGTCACCATCTACAGGGGTTTGCTTCTGAGCACGCAAACACAGTTAATAGGCGGTGCATTTCGTAGATTTATGGCACCGATTCTTGTGCATTGTTAGGTGTCAGTGGATTCTTGTGCATTGTGATAGTGTCAGAAAGTTAGCACCGGGCCTACTGCCACAGACTTTGGAAAAATGTGAAGTTTGATATCACTGGCGATTTGTGCAAAAGCTGTGCCCCAGTTCATTAGTTGGGGCACTAGTTACATCCTGTGGCACCCTTGGAAATCGTTCTGTCATCACAGGGAAAAGTGCAAGTTCAGGTGCACCGAAACCTCAACTGCCCTGCACATCCTATCTTGGTTCAGGCAATTCTATGGCAATATTGGTGGGTATTAGGCAATGCGATCGCGCTATTCGCCCATCCACCAGCAGTACATTCACTGCAAAACTGACAAGTGAATGCTACCCTTTGGCGAGTGTTCGAAGAGGGACCAGAAAGATAAGCTGAAAAAGGGAAAAACAGTCAGCAAAACTCCAGTCCAAGCGATCTGTTGCGCTCCATCACGGGCTTTTCAGGAAAGAAGCCATTGTGCCATGGTAATGTGTGGCCCTCCTGATGACTACCAGTCAAGAACCCCAAAGAAAAAGAAGGACTCGCTTGTACCCCGCATATTACAATTTTTTCTTAACCGCGGAAAGGCAGATTCCCTGCACAGTCTTGGCCACAAACACCAGCAAGTCCTCGTACCAAACCTTTGGGCCAGGCGTGGGGTGCGTCCCGATCGTGCGCCCTTCTGCGACTGTATACAAGAGGTGGAGGTCGCGCTCCTTTCCACCTCGCACAGGTTACCGGCAAAGCCGCCATTCCGCCATCCCCATAACCAACAGCAAGCAGCACTCACTCACTTCGGGTTCCTTACCACAAGGATCACACTATCCCCCCTCAAGAACATCTTGCTTATGAACCTGTCCTTGTACATTGGCTGCGCCGCCTTCTTACCCTTCCCGGTCTTCGGAATCTCCGTCCAGAACTCCTTCACATTCTCGAGGATCATGTTGCAGTGCCGGTCGAAGGCCTTCACGTGCGCCAGGAGCTTCCTGTTGTTCCGGCAGTTGATGAGCACCTGCGAGCTGGTCTTCACGCTGGTGGTGAGGACGGAGAGCGGCCCCGTGCGAAACTCCTCTTCTTCCTTCTTCTCCCTCTCGTCAACGGACATGGGCTGCGCCATGGCGCCACAACAAACACCGATCCGGCGCAAGACATACTGGCTGTGTATGCGGATGTTTTGTGCAGCCTTTCTGCAGGTACATTGCGCTCTGATGCAGCTCATTTTCGGACATGGGTCACGTGTGTGAGGGTGGGAGTCACGATGCAGTGAGGGGTTGAAAGAAGGCATTCGATCCTGCCGGAGTGTGGTTGCGGCAGCCAGGCGCCCAGGACACCAGCCGTCGGCGTTGGTGCGCCTCTCCGGGCCTGCACAGCCCGGAGAGAACTGTGCCCGTCCAGGTGAGTAGCGCCTTCGGAATTGAATGACGCCTGCCCCCCTGGGGGCCCCTGGACCCGTAGTGGAATGAATGGCCGACTGTGATCGCTCGCCTGCAAAAGAGAAATCGGCTCGGTCAGAGACAGCTTCGCGGGGCCTCGTTTGTCCCCATCCTTCCTCTGGATTAGCTTTGGTGCAGATGCCAAGGCGTCTTTTGGTCGAAACCGCAGGGCATCGCGTTGCCTGTGATCCAGGTCCGTGACTATGGGCATGTTTATTAGGTTCCTACGCAAGGCGACCGGCATACTCTTTGGCGGCAGCTCGGGTTTATGTGCGCTCGTGCCCACTTCGCGCCCCCTTGAATGTTCCGGTAGACGGGTCGGCTGCGGCACCATTTTCCTTTTTGCCCTGTGCCGCCACCGGCCGTCGCTTCCCTCGCTGTGGTCAAGATGTCAATAAAACTTGAACATGGTTTGGACGGTCTGGCTGGATCGCGGACTGCCTGGATGCTGAGTCTGCAGCGGCTGTTGTCGCGATGTGCTTTCCATGCCAAACGTCGATCGTACGCCATCCATTTTCATCGACTGCAGTTGCGACCCTGCTGCGCTTCATCTTCCCCTGTTGGCAATCCAACGGCTCGATGATCGATGTTAGTTCGCGACTGTAGTGGGTTTCCGTTCGCTGCCTGCTCCTTTTGCTGTCGCGTCACGGTGTCCATGCTGGTGGGGCTGTTGTTGGCTGCTTGCGACCCGTGCTGAAATGAGTGGCCCAAACTCACACGGTACAGGCCACCATCGCCACACACGCCCACACACACCCAACACACCCACGCACAAACCCTGCAGCTTCACTTGGGCCCAGCATTGAACTCTCTCACGCGGAGATTTCGGCAATATTCACTGAATCCTGTCCTCCCTGGTTGTCGACGAAGAAGTACTTGCTGACTGATTGTTTCAGTTGTTCAATTGTTCAATTGATCAGCCCACGTGCCAAGAGTTTGGATAATTGGGCCTGCCAATTCTTTGGGATGATTTGGATTGGGGCTGGTGGGTGAAGGAGGGGCTGGGGTTCTGTAACCCTTCAGGCGACAATAAGACCTATGAACCCTGCCCACAATTAAGTCGAATTTCCATGCCATGGCAACTTCCTGTGATGTGAGCAACTAGAAAACCAGCAGGTGCCGTTCGTGCCAGTTGTGCTGCTACATTGAGGCTTCCATGGAATACGCCCTTGGAGACCAGATTCTTGACAAGTGTTTGTGCATGTACTGATGTGAATAATTGCTTTGTCAAGCACAGCTCTACATGCCAAGATGTTCGTCCGATCCACACTGCTGGGATTGCTTGCCCTGCTGTGCCTGGGACGCTCATGTGCGGATAACGTTCTGACTGTGGACGAAGACAACTTTGAAGAAGTCGTGACTTCTAATCCAAATCTCATTGTGGAGTTTTATGCTCCATGGTGTGGGCACTGCAAGAAACTTGCACCAGAGTATGAAAAGGCAGCAGGTATTCTGCTCCAGAAGGATCCTAAGGTGGTTCTGGCAAAGTGTGATGCCACGGATGAGAAGAACAAGGCCCTCGCCAAAAAGTGAGTACCACGTGCTGAATTTTTGGGACAAGTGCATGGCAGCTGTGGTTGGATCAGCACGGTTCGGTGAGACGTGTGAAGTGATATGTGATTGGCAATGCACTTCAAGACTTTGACTGTGAGAATGAAGATGATGGCTTCGTTGATCTGCACTGAGTGCTACGTACCCAGGTGAGCCCTCTACATTGCCGGTTGGAACTGAGTAGGCAAGGCAATTGGCACGTGTATTACTTTCCTTGCAACGAATTCAACATGCAATGACCATCACTACGTCGAAACTATCCCCAATCCTGGCTGCTGTTGCGATACCCGTCTGCATTGTGTCCTTGCGATGTGCAGGTATGGTGTCAAAGGCTTTCCTACTTTGAAGATATTCAATGGGACCACAGAATCCCCCAAAGACTACAGTGGCCCAAGGGAAGCCAAGGGCATTGTGGAGTATGTGATGAAGATATTTGGACCTGCATCCACGCCTGTGACAGACTCCAAATCCTATGATGCCCTGATGGAACACGACGTCATCGCCCTGGGAGTCTTTTCAGGCGAAGATTCTGAAGAACTCAAATTGTTCCTCGACGTCGCAAGGGATCTGAAGGATGAGATGGAATTTGGCCACACATTTAAGGCAGATCTTGTGGCGAAATGTGGGGATGTCAAGTGCGAAGCTGCCACGGTCATGTTGTTTGTCCCTGGTGAGGACACATTTGAGGTCTTCACTGGCAAGTTCGAAAGGGAGCCACTCACTAAGTGGCTGGAGGAAACATCCAAACCTGAGCTGCCAATTCTAAGCAGGTATGCTGCACCAGATGCATACACGGAGTGCAGCAGCTGGGGTCACAGTACTTCAATGACAGTCTGCGCTGCTTGCATCGTTAGATGCTCCCAGAATATCAGTTCAGTTCAGGTACTTCCAGGTTGCTTCCTCTGCTGGTGACAGATACAGCTTGAACATGACATTGATGGCTTTAAGTTTTGGTGCTTCTGGCAATGTGCAGCACCACTCGCATGCAGAAGGTGCTTGCCAAGATATTCGGGTCGAAGAAGATGCGGCTTCTGGTTTTTGCAGAGGAGGTATGTTGTGCACGTCTTTTGGGATGTGCCATGGTCTCTTCATGCACCAAGAACATGTGACTGAAAACAGCCACCATTCTGCTGCCTGCTTGGAAAGTGGAAATGCGGTATGTCATGTTTTAGGAGATGCAGTCAAATGGAGTGTCTCTTTCCACAGCCCTTGTGAGCCTTGTGTGAGCCAAGTACAGGTCTTGTGATGCTCTTATGGTACGTTTGTGCCCCTCATCATTGCATATGCGACAATGGCTGCCACTTGTTTGATTATACAGAACTCATCTGTGCAGCTCCACAGCTGTTCGCTTGGCAAGCAAGTTGGCAGATGCGCGATCTGGCTTGATGTGCATTGAGCCTGATTGGGCTGCACTGCCCACGCATCAGGGAACACCATCTTCAGTTAAAAGGACCTTTCATACTTAGCAAGTCCAGGCTTCATTTCAAGGCCTTGTGCTGTTCTAAGTGTGCAATCTGTAGCGGTGCGATAACTTGCACTGCTGTGCTTACCACGTTTGTCCTACCCCACCTGCTGGTCAATGCCTGTGCTGTCTCTTGGTGTCAGTGCTTTTTTTGGTGCGCTGTTTGCAGGGGAAGTCTGAAGCAGATGAACTGAAGCAGGCCATCATAAAGGCAGCAAAAGGTGAAAATGAGGCGCACATCATCTACGGTGAGACCGCAGACAACGAAGGTGCTCTGAGCTACTTTGGAGTGAAGGCTGCAGACATTCCTGCTTTCGTTGCACATGACCCTGTGAGGGATCTCAAGTATTTAAAAGCTTCCGTGAAAGCGTCAGAACTTGCTGAGTTCCTGGAGCAGCTGAAGGTGCGCTTGGAGGATGACATTGCAAACTCTTATATCCACTGTGGTGTGTTTCGATTGGGTGGGTGGTTTTGGATTCAGTGATCTGGACATGGAAGCACACTTCATCTGGGCTGTTGTGATGGGTTGTTGAAGATTGGTGTCTCTATAGGCCAAATTGACACACGTACTTGGGTGCAGAGCTTCTGATCCTGACTGTAAGTGCAGCTCTGCTTGCAATGCAAACAGTCGATGTGGAAGTGTTTTTACCCCATCTAAGGTAGTGTTCCCAAGTCAGAGGAGAGGGAGGGTGATAAGGAAGCTGATTCCCTGGGAATCATGAAGTGCCACTTTCTAAAATTGGCACTGCATCGAGTTGGTTGCTTGTCTTGGAGTGAATGCAGGGAGTGGTGCCAACCAGCAATGACGAAATGCCGCACTGTGTGCCCTGTGTTGTCAGTGAGGACACTGTGCTAAGGCGCTCAGTCACCTGTTGCAGGCTGGCCAGCTTGAGCCCAACATCAAGTCTGAGGATCCTCCAAAGGACAATGATGGCCCTGTCAAGGTAAGGGAATAACAGGGTGCAAGAAATATGACCTGTGAACACAGCAAAATGCAACTGATGAGAACACAGAATGTTGTTCATGCAGCAGACCAGACAATCAATGACCACTGTGTTGCAACTTTGGCATGTGAGTGCAAAA